CTAGGAGCAAGGAAACCCAGGTCTGAATCCTCACTCTGCCCTAGAAGTCTGTGGGGTGACCTTGGGCCAATCGCTCTCTCTTAGCCTAGCCTACCTCACAGGGATGATGTTGTGAGGATAAAATAGAGGAAGGGTAACAATGCTGTAATCCATTTTGCATCCCACTTCAGAGAAAAGTGGGGTACAAGTATCTAAATCAAATATAAATAAATAAATCAGAAGCCCTTCTTACGTCCATTGGTAGGGACATTCCACAACACTGAAACAGCAAGCAAAGGGGCAGGACTTCAGCCTAGAGGAGGATCATATCCTCTCAGGGACGGGAGGAGGAAGACTGGTTAATGTCTGAAAAGACTAGTTCACATCAGAAATGGAAGTGCTGTGCCTCAAGCCATCTTGGAAAACACAGTCTCCTATCCCTAATCCCGGACATGAGCATCTTGGCTGTATTACATCTACTCAGCATACTCCACCTATGGCCAGAAGCATTTATTCCGAGAGAGAGAGCTCTGGGAAGCCACCAAGCTCTCTCCACAAAGCTCACAGAGAATTTCTTTGGTGCCAGAGAAAGGGTATTCTGGACCTACACAGTCACAAGATGTCTGAAGATACGTGACCAGGCTTAAACAACACATGGGACAGAATAATCTGGACACATTTCATTCCTGGCGTACCTAAATATAGATTTAAAAAAACAACAACAGGAAAAGCTATCAAGAGGAAATTAAGTATGCTTACAATTCCACAAAACCATGGAATTTAAGTGTATCTTTACATGATACTCAACGTCCCGTAGATAGCCTTCCAACCATCATACAGCTTTCTGTGGGCTGCACCCACTGCATTGTTGCTCATTGGAACAGTAAATTCTGTAGCAAGTTTAATAAACAGGAGCTACAAACAACCAGAACGAGATCCCAAGACGAGCGACAAAACGACTCCTTCTCTTTGCTATCGTCAGACTGCTTATCGCCAATGTTTGAGAGACTCAAATGTTTTCTATTGCACCTGGCTGCCTCGTTTTTAACATTATGAAAACATTACTCAAGGCTTGTGCAAAAGAAATGACTGTGCAAAGAAATGTGTCAGCCATTATGTGATCAGGAGCATCCCACCTACAGCTGCGAATGTTGCTGCTAATTAATCTGTCGTGGCATTACACGGAAAAAAGGATTTGGGCCAGAACACGGCATAATCCATACGCCTTTTACACAGTGTCACGATTATCTGAAGGTCTCAGATTGCTGCAGCCGGATGGGATGTCATATTAATATCATTTTTTTAAAAAAAAAGACAACACTTCTCCTGGCACCACACCATTCAGTTAATGCCATGTTGCAACACTGTTCAAAGACCCAAGCTCTGTCGGAATTTGACTCCCTGAGCAGCCAAGGTTAGGGAAAAACCACTCACGTTCCTTCATTGTAAGGCCTTTATTGTGGCCATACTCATTCCTTCACATATTTGTTGCTGTTCTCTGGAGCAGTTCTGAAAATTCCACCCTTCTCTTACAAATTACAGCTACAAACTGCAAAAAGTGTTGTTTTGTATTACAAGAAAGCCTCCAAGCACTGCAATTGTATTTGAAGCTGGGAAGAGACACTCCCACAATGTATTTGGCTCCTTCGTCTCAAAACTGTCTACTACGATAAAACTGAGCCAACACTTCAGTGAGTAAGCCCCTGACTCTGAGTGAATTACCTACGTGAGTGAATGAGTGAACAAATGAATGTGTTAAGTGGCCACGGATTGGCAACATGACCGTGCAATTACTCAATCCCCCTCAGCATACGGAGCACCCTTAACATCCCTTCAGAGCTTAAGTGACCTACCACAGTTCTTCAGGCACCATCAATTTCCTCCAGGGCCAACATTCAACTCAAAATGCAGGGAGAACAATTAAAACAGGGGGAAACCCCTGGAATTATACAAGATCCCTAATTTTGATTATGCCATGAAAACAAGTTTGCACCAAGGCCAGAAGCTTTGTTCAATGAAAGCTCTCCTTATGAAATGACTACAATGGTGTACAAAAATACACTCCAAAACCCCTTTTGCTTTCCCTTAAATATGCTCTGAATATGATATAATCTTATATTACGGTCCCAAGAAACGTTGTCAGAGAACTTAAGACTACTACACTGAGCAGGTAGCCATGATGTCATTTCAGCTGGATCTTCTCCTTACCCATTAGCATGGCTGTGCACTTCCTGAGATCAAGAGCAAAAAACCCCTTCCACAGTACTGTTTCAGATCCCCTGAATCCACATGCAAGTAGCCAGCACAGTCATTCATCTGCAGCTTACTAATGCACTAAGGGAAGGAAAAATATTGGTTTTGTTTCAATTTATTTCAGTGTTTCCGTAGACAAATTTATTTACCCTTCATTTTTACCTGTTGTTGAAGACTTTTGGGGGGGGGGAAATTATTTCCCTCCTCCCAAACATTATTCAGGTTGAGTGTGTGCTTGATACAGAACAAATGAAGGTTCAGAAATAAAAGATTTCATTGAGCATCCACCTTGAACAATTCACAGCGGGTTGATTTTATGTTTTCTAGCCATTCATTATCTAATCAAAACAGTAAAAGCTCCTAGCAAATGCTCTTCTGGTATACGCTATAGGGCTAGGACACTCTAGAGAACCAGTCCAATGCTCTCTATTAGCAACAATTATTAAAGATTCCTAAGCGAGAGGGGGAAAGATTCCTGAAAAATAAAGGGCTGGAAGTTAAACATCTGCAAAATACTTGGATATTTTAGAATCCTAGCATAATTCAGATTAGGAATCCACATATTATTTTATTCAAGAAGACAAACAGTTATCAGAGAATGTTTTCATACGCTGAAAAACATGATGAATGGACACAGCCCCCCCCCCATATAATATAAGATTCATTCCCTCTCAAAATATCACTGAGCTATTTAAACTACTGGAAGGGACTCTACTGCCCTTGTTTTCTTATCCTCTGTACTTCCTCCACTGCCACTCAACTGTATGAAGGCTTCTGGTACCCAAAGGACAATTCCTCTGTTTCAAAAGAGCAGTCAGTTGCCCCCTGGGGTTGAAAGCTTCAGAATAAGATTACACAGGCTGTGATGTAACCTGCTGAAGCCCTGCAGACGGACCCCATGGGTGGAGGCGGTGCCAGTCACACAGGGCACAGGAGACAGTTATTCTGCCAGACACACAGGCATGCTCCTGTCTGTACAAGATTCTTGAGGCCACCAAAAAAAGTCTGAAACCTTCTGCACCATCACATGCCAACAGACAAGAATTCTGGCTAATGTTGATGCCCACTGTTCAGAAGAGGGCAGTTCCTAATAAGTTACAGGTAAAAAGCGTGCATGGGAGACAGTGCTCGATGGCTAAAGAGAATTCTTATCTTGTCCTTCTCTAGACCTGTTCTTGTCAATATGCTCTGGGGAAGGGGTTGCTGGGTGCCCCTTCCCCCGCATCAGAAGAGGCACCATTATCTATACCAACAGCAGTAGAGAAAGGGGTAGAAAAATCCCTTCCTTCAGTAGTTCAGGTAAACAGGGCGCCACTTCCCTTTCGTGTGGCTGCCAAGGAAGCATAGAAGGGGAAAGGCTGAGGGTTTGGCAAGATAAGGGGGAAACCTTCACCCCTGTGAGGTCAGGTGTGAGAGAAAGCAAATATGTCGCTTTTCCCTTAGGTGAGAGATTGCAGGGGAACATGGAACTGGTGGACTCCACTGAGGCCCTTTCTGATAGTCAAATGACCAGAAGGGAAAGGAAAAAAAAGCTGTAAAAACCAGCTAAGGGTGGAATCTCCCCCCCCCTTAAAGGAAGACTGCTGAGGTTCTTATATAATGGTTTCAAACTGATACATCTGTCAACACTGCAGGGTCGGGCACTGAGGCAACAGATTAGCATGAAGGACAGCCTCAGATGATACCTCTCCAGGGATTAGAGGTGCCAAGGCACGGAAAAACACACGTAACTGACTAAATAAAGAAAACAACTAACAGATGATTTCAGAGAGTTGGTCATCTCTGGACGCAGAGGGCAACTGGCTCCTAATTGAGAAGAACAGATCAAGTTCCAGCCAACCTCAAGACAGACACAGGTCCAGGTTCTGATGGTTCTCCCCCTACAGGCCTTGCCCCCCTAGGGCTTCCCAAGGGCGAGCATGTCTCCACAGGTACCCCCCCCTCCAGTTTCAAAACGGAAGGCCTGAGCATCCACCTGTAGAAACAGGGAGTAGCAGGATCACCTCCAAGGGCTTAATCTGAAGTGCCCCAAACTCCGTTCATTCCCCTCCCCTCCCCTGCTCCTCTCTGGCTGCAACATAATTATTCCAGCATGAATGACGTGACACATTAACAGAGCAGCAGCGGCTTTTGAAGTAGAAGAGTGTGTTTTCCCCGGAGAATAAATTGTTGTAATCCTTAATGGCAGACACCAGGCCATGCCTAGTCATTAATTGGACAAGGTCCTTTTGACAACTGGAATTACCTGCTGTGTGCACAAACGAGGAGAGAGAAACCTCAGTGCCAGTACCCAACATGCAGGCGCAACGCCCCTGGAGTAAACTGCCAGGGAGAAGAAAATACATAAATGCACGGATCCGAAGCCACTGCTTTGGAGATGGCTGAAGCGTCCTCCAAAACACAACGCCCCACCTCTCAAAGCAAAAAGTTTAAGAAGTTTAAAAGCCACACATTTGTGCAAGATGAATTAAACAGAGCAACTCATTTAATGCAACCCGTGGTGGGTCCCAGGAAACAAGAGACCGCATTAGGCAAAAAGCACCGCATTTCACTCTTCCAACCAAGGAACACTATAAATTAAACAAAAGGGGCCAATCCTCCCCGGGCTGCTGAATGAATTCACCCACTTTAAAACTAAGGCAAGGCAAACCCAGTGGTTTTCTTAAATACATACTGCTAGCACTTATGGGACAATAGGGTATTGGGGATGGGGGACAAGCGACAATACCGATATTTTCCCTCTCCTTTGCGTTGTTCTGGCTGCGTACCTGAAATGCAGACGATGAAATTGGCTTGCAGAAGAAAAAGCACCTCCCAAACAATTTCCATCCTCCGATTCTCATGCCAAGTGCATCCCTCGGCGAAAAAAAACAACAAAGATCAATATCGCAATTCCCGAAAACCTCCTTTCGGACTTGCAGCCTGTATTCCCCAGATGTGCTGACACATGTCCGAGCTCTCTCTCCACACCGCTCACACGAGATCCCTTCTGTGCCTTCGCCCTCCAGCCAAGACCAAGGAGCCAACCGCCGGCACCGGCTTCTTCCTCCAGGAGAGCGAGACAAATCCGCCAGATCTCCCAACAAGACATAGACGACCAAGCCCCAACCGATTCCCCTGCTCCGGAAACTCTCGATTCCAGGGGACCTGAACCGCAAGTTGTCCCCAAACTCTGCACGCCTCACCGGGGCATCGCCACACCGATCACCATCCCGGCGTCTCTTCTTCTTCTCCTCCCGCTGGCTACAAAATGAGCGCAAAGAGATTCAGATTACACATTGCAAAGGATTTTCAGGCTTTTGCATGCGATTTCACCTACAGCTAAAGCCGAGGACGAAAATACCCAGCCCAGGTCTCCTTGCCAAAAAAACAGCTCAGCGCCCGTAATTCCTCACCAAGCAAAAGGAGGTTTTCCGCAATGCAACTGCAGGGGTCGTTCTTTCCTCGTCTAACCGATATCCACCCACCCACCCCTCTTTCCTAGCTATTGGGAAGAATCCCGAATGCAAATAAATAAATAACTCGCCAAGTCTCTACCTCTTCCCCAAACCCCCCCCCCCCCCCCCCCCAACCCCTCCACATTTATTCCCCTTTTTTTCCTTAGCACTTTAACCACTCTGCTCGGGTAAATGAAAGCAACGCCGCTTAATGCATGCACGTATATGTATCATATACCTCTTTCTTTAGATTGTGTTCCCTAGGTAAGGCGCATCGAATTGCCAAGCGCCTGTCGGCGGGAGCTAACCTCCCGAGCTACTCTAGACGCAAAGCCGCAACGCTTCCAACTTCCCCTCCAAGCGCCCTTTTGCATGCAAAAACAATTATTTTTGCACGAAGACAGGTAAGCCAAGAGTTAGCAAAGTCGTTGCGCCGCCTTCTCCATCTTCTGCCGAGCAGAATCACCACCCCCTATATCTATAGGGAGTGATGGCAGAATCCCCCTGATTTGAAACGACGTGCGACGGCATACTTACCCCTCTCCCTAAACCTCCCGGTTCTCCTTCAGCTCATATGGGACGATCGCTCCCCTTTCCAATTTGCCCGCAGACGCGCTCTCACCCCCCCCCTCCCCCCCCCCCCCCAAGAAAAAGAACTAGAAGTCAAGCTGCAGGCGGCCTCAGCTCGGTGCAAAAGCCGTGTTTTATGGTCCTGTGCTCATTAGGATTATTTGCTTCCCCTCCGCTCCTCCGCTTCAGGGACTCATTTGCTTTGGGGCTCCAAGCCCGCCCGAGCCAGCCTGCGACGCTCAGCAGCTCGGTGCACAGCCGAGCACGGACGGCGGCGCGAGCCAGCGCGCGCGGGGACGTGAGCCGTAGAGCGAGCAAGAGTTCCGCTGGGGGGAGGCAGCACGTACTGCCAAAATCCAAGCAGCAGCTGCCGGGATTCCCGGGTGGGTCCGCCGCCGAAGCTGGAATCCTGGCTTTGCGAGCGACAGACCGCGGGGGAGACGGGCAAAGCAGATCGAAGGTTGCGGGCGGGAGCCTGGCACTGCAAACTAATAAGGCGCGGAGTTGTTGGCTTGCACTGCGCAAACCGTCCTCTCTTTTACTAATACCTCTCAGTAAATGCTTTGTTTAAAAGTTGCATGGGGGTTTGAGCCTTGGAGAAAAGTGTTCTAAGCTAGCCGAAGAAAAAACAGGGTTTCTTTCATAGTTCTTATGGGGGGAGGCGAGATCAAGGTTTGGCCAAAATTCTCTCCGGTCGGGTACCCAACCGGAAATGGGGAAGTCTGGACCCACTGTTTCAACAAGCCAGGGCAGGTGTGTGGGAGCGAGGGGGACGCGCCTTCCTGCAGTGCATCTAGGGAGGGAAAACAGAAAGCCCAGTTCAGGAAAGCTGTTCAAAAGTACAGGTCCAGAATGTGAGTGAATAAACCAGCATGATGTACTAAAACGAATGACAGGAATGCCCATTGGGAACAATGGGAGATGCTTGAAGGCCCGTTGGATATAATGGGAGGCAGCAATACCAATTGGCTTGCATGGGCTCCCTTGAGATATATTATAGCACACAAAAGTTACAACGAAAATGTGGAACGGATTTGGAGAAATATGCTCTTTGTCTGGAATCACAGTCCCTGGCAGTAGCTTAAGTGTTCTGGGACTGGAATGGTAGCCCCCAAAGTGGAATGATGGTCACTGGACCCAGATAAACTGCTCCGTGACTGGATAAGAACCTCCAGAGTTGAATGATGGCCCCTGGGACTGGAATCAGTGTTATTAGACTGGAATGACAGCCCTCGGAGTTAAATGCCAGTCCATGGGAATAGCATAAGTGTCCTGGGACTGGAAAGACAGCCCCCAGAGTAGAATGATGGTCCATGGGTTTAGAATCAGTGCTCTGCAACTGTAATCACAAACAGAGTGGAATAAAATACTTTACATTTTAATTAATATTTTGGAAGTTGCCCTGTTATCCCCAAATCTGCTCCACCTCAATAGTTATCCTGCTTATTAGATGTTGTGTTTCTTCTCAAGGGCATTAAACTAGTATCAGCTTTCTCATTCTGCACTGTTGACAAGTAAAAGCCCTGTCCTTTTCTTCCTTAGGGTCCCACAGTGTCCAAGTCTGCTTTCTTCCTATCCTCCATGTTCCTATCCCCCATGACACTTTGGAGGGTGTCATTCTAATCCCACAGCATTTATGATACTCCCAGGGACTGTGATTCCATGCTCAGTGCTGTCAATCCAGTCCCAAGGCAGCTTTATCTGAGTCCAGGGACCATCATTCTGCTCTGGGGAATATTGCACTCCCAGAACACCTACAATACTCCCAGGGACTGTTATTCCAATCTGGGGGCTGTTATTCCAGTCCCACGACATATATGCTACTCCCGGGAACCTTTATTCTTCTCTAGGAGGCTGTCATTCCACTCCCAGTTCAACAAATGTAGAGTCCAATGGCACCTTTAAGATCAACAAAGGTTTATTCAAGGTATGAGCTTTCGTGTGCACACACACTTTATCAAATATGTAGAATGGCAGTCAAGGTTCAAATTTATAGCCAGAGGATGAACAGCAAATTAATATGCAACATGATGATGATCAAGATATGCAAAGTGACACTAAATAACAAGTTATGGTTATAAGGTCAACAGTTGTAGAGCTATAAACAGGTCAAACTAGCAGAGAAATGTCTAAAGGTGTCTTTTCTAATTGTGGGAAGTGCCTGGGAATCTTCATTCTCTCCGGTCAGGAAGGGAGGGCACTTAACACTACACCCCCCTCCAAAAAATGCTGCTGTGTCAGCAGACATCCTAATATCCCTTGCATACATTCAGTATTCTAATATACTATTATGAAAAAGAAATACACTAAAATACATTTTAAAAAACACTATGGTACTCCTAGGGACTGTCATTCCACTCTCAGGGTGTGGTCAGATGGCATGCTGAGAGCGGTTTAAACTGCTCCGGTTCTAACCGGATTATATTTGATCTGGATAATCATGATCACACTTACCTCCCTTATCCCGCCTCACCGCGCAGTCATGTCGCTCCCCGACATCTACACTACTGACGCGCGGGAGCATGTGTTGGCAGGGTTTAACAAATTCTCCTCAGTTTGCACATGCGCATAGGTGCCCCTCCGTAGAAGGGGAGGAAAACTATCATGGCACATGCACAGAACCACCAGGGTGAATCAATCCAACCCCTCCAACAAAAGACTTCCCTTTAAATGTCTGACCTGAAAATGGCCTCGAACTCATCTAAACGCTAAAACAAGTGACCATTTAAGTGTCGGTTTTCTAAACACGGTGGCTGCGCTCCGCCTATGCGCACACTGCCAATGCATTAAAAAAATGGAGGACGAAAAGCGGAAGCCTCAGGCAGCTTTCGAGCAGGGAGGGGGTTTAAACCGGAAGTGGCTCGACACCGCAGGAGCGATCAGACGTCAGAAAAGTGTGGCTAGAACCGGAAAATCAGGAAAACACCACTTGGGGACCTGGTAACAAAATACTCCATTTTAAAGGGGGTTTGAGCCGGAAAGCAACGGCTGGGGATGGTGCACAGATGTTGGGTGTGTGAACATGGATATAAAATCCATTACTGAAGTGTGCCGAAAGTGGACTAAACGGCCTGTCTGAACGCACCCACAGTGTTGTTTTTATAATCCCAGAACATTTTTCCTACTCCCAAGGGTTGTCATTCCACTTTAGGGGGCTGTCATTCCAGTTGCAGAACACTTTTATCTGGGTTTAGGGACCATTGTTCCACTCTGGGAAATATCAGTCCCCTCCCAGAACACTTATGCTTCTCCCAGGAACCATCATGCCACTCTGGAGGCTGTATTTCCAGACCCAGGGCACTTTCTTCACATGTGTCAAACAACCTACCGTACATTCACCATGAGTGGGGAGGGGAGAAGGAACCACCCCAGCATGCGCACCTGAATGACCACCACCACCAGCAGCCCTGCCAACATCACTTCTCAGGCAAGGAGGGAGGAGAACAAGGAGCTGCTAGAGTGATTGATCTCCCTCCCCCAACCATTTCAGCCAGGTGGAAACACTGCTGTGGGTAGGTAGGGAATGGAATAGGACCAGGAACCACTGCCAAGGAATGGAGGGAACAGTGGGCAGTGGTGGAGCAAAAAGGTGCAGGGCAAGATGCTGGGCAGGCAGAGCAGTAGTGAGAAGGGAGGGTAGGCAGAGTGGGGAAAGGGGCCAAGGCCAGATGGGTAGGCAGAGCTGGATGAACATTGGGGAAGGGGTGGGCTTGGGAGCAGGGAGGAGGATGGATGGGGAAGTGGTGATCAGGCAGCCAGGGGGGTAGGCAAGCAGAATGGGGGAGGGAGTGGGTGAGCAAGCAAAAATCCCCTTCCACGTGG